AGAGATGCGTTTGTCATTCGAATATTATATTATTCACAATCGCTAAAAATAAAAAGTCATCTTATATTATTCTCACTTCTTTCTCTTTCGAAATGAGGTCTCTTCCCTTAATCTGCGCCCACAACCTTAAATATTCGACACCATTCATTTTATTATTTTATTTTTATTAAATTGAATGATTAAATAAAAAAAAATTAATCCAGTATTAAATATTAAAATAAGCTAAAAGGCCCAGCCCTAATTTATAAACAAGTGCACGGCATATTAAATCTTGTGAGAACGTTAGTCTTTATCAGAACTTTTTTATTTAGATGATGTTATCAGCGCAGAAAAACAAACTCTTACCTTCAGACAATATGAAAATAAACTAACCCGAGTGCGAGCAAATGCGAGAATAAGAGTGTCATTATGTTTTTACGTCTTTCTTTTTTTCTATAGTTACTAGCTATTGATTCATTTGATAAAATCTATGGGAGACCTTCGTGATTTATTAAAAAAGTAATGGAAGAAACTTCAGAAATTGTCTTTACTATTATACCTGTAATATAACAGATACAATCTGAATTTGAATTGATTGTTTTAACGACTAATACTATTCGTAAGATGTCGCGTGTGAACCGGCTCATCGTAGCATCAATAAGAGCTGTTTATAATGCGACATCATTATTTTGTTAGTAGGGTCATATACGGTTCAATATTCTCACATATAGAAAACAAGCAAATTATCTTTCGCCAAAGAGTTTTGCTTAGACAACTTTGCTAGACATACAGCTAAGTTTTTCAAAAACTGAAGAGGATGTGGGTGTGACTAAAGAAGATACACCCGTACGCCCGCACCCTCAAGAGTTCATCTGTTTCTTGTTAGCGACATGATAGAGTACGACTGTATGAAGAAAAATCTGCTCGAATAACTAAACAGAAAGTTTTAAACTAATTTCAAAGGATATAGACCTACCTTTAGAATCGAGAGATTATGTTGACACAAAAATTTCTGTTTCCAAGACTCATAGGAGGTCACTTTTTCAAGAAAGAAATTTTATGAAACCGATTTTGAAAATTTCATCATAGATGCAGCGATTTAGTGGTCAAACGCCGAAAAAAAAATATCGACAAGTGCAAATGTCGACAAATAATGTCGATAGATAAAATGTCGACAGGTAAAATGCCGACGTATAAAAAAATGTCAAAAATTCTATCATGATATAGAAAAACCGTGTAGCATATGCTGTCATCTATTTTTTTCTGTTTCTGCATTTTCTTTGAGGATGGGTGTGGGTGTGGATATGACATAAAAATAATACTCACCCACACCCACGCCCACCCTAATCGATGTTATTAGAAGTCTTGATATAAAATAGCACAATGAATTTATGATAATTATAAATTAATCCAAAGAAAAAAATGTAGCTCGATTTTTCGAATGAAGCATCTTTCGAGTTAATGTGACTATTACCAAAAGTAAACTTAGGTTTTGTTACTATTAAAGTTTAGTATGAATCCGATTGGATACCAAAAGATTGTTCTCAGTGTTTTTAGATCAAGTTGTGTAAAATATCAATTTCTTATTTATTTCTTTGATTAAAAGAAATCTCTTTTGCCTGAAATATTTATTTTTATAAAAAAAAGTTTTATTTTAGATGAAGATATTATAATATTCTTGATCGCATCTTCATGAGTAATGATATTTCCACTCAAATTCGACATTTCAAGTTCCTATATAAAAATTGAAACCAAGAAGAAAAGTATCTTGAGGGTGTGGGTGTGTATTTTTCTTCTTCTTCGACATCTATGTCCTCATTCATCCACACCCACACTCAAACTCTGACCGTCAAGATATATATTATTGAATGTTTATTTTAGCTTAAAATTTATTTTTTTTTATATATGAAAAAAGTTTATTCGTCTGTAATTATTTCTTGAAGATTATTGATTATGCTGTGACTATAGCAAAATATTGTTGCCTGGCCTTTGCTTGTATCCAAAATTGTTGTACAAAACCCAAAAAATATAGATAAGGACACAGAATTACAATAAAAACTGCAACATAATTGCGCGATCGAATCCAAATGATATAACAGACAATAAATAAAATACAACAAATAAGAAACCAAATTGGCCAAATAATTTTCGTATATTGTGGAGCATACGATTGACGTATATAGAGATAGAATATTATAATAGTATGAAGTAGACAATATAATAAAATAGAATCAAATATTCCATAGTTACATATTTGATATTTGTCATAACTATAACTATTTCGCATCGTACGTATAAGCTGAAATAGAAAAGGTATAAGAATAGAAAGATGAATGATGTACAGAACACTTCGATTAATTATCAATTGAGTTTTCAATAGAAATTGAAATCGACCAATGATTATTGCCAATACTTGAAGTAACAGAAAAATTGCGACAAAGAAATACATATGACTTGAACATACATGTTCAATCAAAAGTTCAAAAAATGATTTTTTTGACATTGAGTGATTGTCAATCAAACGATCTGTGAACAAAGAAATTATCAAAGTAATAATTAGTGTAAATGGTAAGACAGTTAACGACCAAAACCAAATCGATGTTGCAGTTATTGCCATTTCTATAATTTAACAGACAATAGAATTTCAAATGTATTATAATGTATTCAGGAGATACAGTATTTAAAACAAAAAACTTTGTTTTTATGATATTTGATCGTTTTATGAAGTAATGAAAATGTCTGTGTATAATGGTATCACGTTGTTGTTCTCTTCTTATCGTTTTATATGATAGTTGAGAATTATTTTCTTGACTTTATTCAACATCATATTTCAAAGAGAAAAAGTCTTTCATAAAAGTAGTTGATTAGACGCATTTATTTACATCTTCTAAACTTATTTCTTTCATGTCTCATAATTCAGCATGTTTTTTTTGCTCTTTGAACATGAAAATCTTTGTCATAATTCTTGTCAACCACATTAAAATTTATCAATATAATAAGATTGTTTTTATATAGAAGATGATCTTGAACTAAAAGACGAAAATTCCATACTTAATTGGACAAATATACTCTAACTTACTTTTAAAAATTACCCTTTTACTCATAATAAAAGAATAATTCCATTCATTTTTAATATCACATTTATTTGTATCCACACCTGTAGAATTCTGACAGTTCTAGAGGAACTTTTAAGATTCTTCATGAACATGAGAGAACCTTTGAGAAGCCCCAGGAGTCATGAGAATCCGAGAAACAAGGAACTGCTCTTTCCCCCTTTCAAAATGCTCATACACAAGTTTCACTTATAACTGCTGAAGACGATAAACTGCTTTAATCAAAAGGTCTTAATTATTCAGATACAGAAGAAGCTCATCATATAGCAAATGAAAAATATAGTTTAGGACAAATTTTATCAAAATAAATATGGAAGATAAAATAATGATTATAAAGAATTGATATAATAGATATCAACAAACTCAAAAATAAGGGTGTGTATGAGATGATGACAATACGAGCACCCACACCCTAAAATCCAGACTTTCATACTGCGAAGTACGATGAAAGTATGGAAAAAGAAATTTCGCTTTTTCTCCTTTGTTACCAAAAATAATATTATTACGTTATGATTGCGCAATTCTTGCCACGTATGCAAAAGAAAAAAAACATCGCATTTTTCTTATTCATGTGTTATTATCAAATATTAAAAAATTTGTAGCAACGATACTTATCGAAGCAAATGAATTCATCAACTAAAAACGTGGTAAATAAACCACCATCAGTACTTATAACTGGATCTTCTGGATCTGGTATGTATGTGTGTAACTTGTTGTTCATAATTTATACATAAACTTTTTTTTATTAAGGTAAAAGAACAATTGTTCACATGATAAAACATGGTAAAATTCCTGACGGATTTCCAACAATCGGTGTCGATTTCGAAAAATTAACTATTAATGAAGCTCCTCTTATGATTTGGAGTATCGGTGGACGTTCAGGATATCGTCCTTTACTGACACAATATTATAGAAGAATGCTAGGATTTATTTTTGTTGTTGATTCAAATGATCATGAAGGAATTGATGAAGCATGTAAAAAGCTTCACGAAATAATTAATAATGATCATTTTGAAGAAAAACCTATTCTTATATTTGCCAATAAACAAGATTTACCCAATGCAACGAATAATGATCAACTTCAAAATAAACTTCATTTAGATAAACTCAATAAAAATATTAAATGGCATTTGCAAGCAACATCTGCTATTCAAAATCAAGGTCTTGATGAAGGTTTCGAATGGTTAATGAATTCTATTCAAAATAAAAATGATAAAATAAATCCTATCGTAGAAACATATAATGATACAATTACCATGAAAAATCATCTCATTTCTTTATTTAATATAACTGAATTTACAACATTTATACGGAAAATTATTTCTTCATCATTCAATTTTCTAGAAAATGTAATTAAATATAAATATACAACAAACTTTCTTTTTAAAATAAAATAAAATATTTATCGATGTGTTAAATGATCAAAAGAGAAAAACAAATATGATTGAATGTTTTTTCTTTATAAAGAAAAGGAGAATAGACGATACGCTTGATATCGAAAGTAGAAAGGTCACGAATTTGATGAGAGGGTGTTGGTGTGAGTGTATGGCAGTCTCTTCATCTCTTAGACGCATATCCACATCGTCACCCACACTCTTAACGAATACAATAGGTACAGTTTTAGAAAAAGACCATTCAAAATTTAGAGAATTGATATTAGATCTAATGTGGGAAGAAAAGTTGGTTTCAATAAAGGCGTACTTTTACGCTTTGCATACAAACCATTGCTATTCAGATATAACAAGATATATCTGGAGGCATTCCCTTTGATAATTTTGCTGTTATATGTACAGATAAATCAATAAATAATCTTAGACAAGTACTGATACAAAAAAGGCTAGATAGAGAGACGAGCAGGCTATTCCCGACAATATTAGAAACAAAATCCTTACAAATCTCTCATCAAATCATTTGAATTTGTTTCTTTAAAAAAATACAACTCCCAGTTTAAATAACAATGTCTTTTCTTGGGCTATTTCAATTTGATGTAAATGTCTTTGTTCAAAAATAATATATTTCAAAAGTTTTTTTTCTGTATGTTGATTAAAAAAAATCTTTCATCAATATCTTTTGTCTAGCAAAATAATATTTATTATTATTGTTGATTATATCTTTCTCACGCATTATACATGACTTGAAAAAGATAAAGTTAATTGCAAAGGCTTAGTGTGTTCAATTCCTTACTCCCTTCTTGTTCCTCTTCTATTCTTTCACAAAAAAAACAATAATCTATTACTTATTCTCTCCATTAATGGCAAGGAAGTTGCTCTTATATATAGATTTTTGTCGACAAATAGAGAAAGAAAAATAATTATCCAATTTTTTTTTGCTTCATGACTTTGCGACACACAAAGAATTACATGAACATATTCGATAAACAGCACATAATAAAGTTCTGTTAATGACGTTAGCAATAAAAAGAAAAAAAAATATTCCATGATTTTCTGTTCATCTGATATATAAATCAACAAAATTAATAAACTTCAATTAGATTAATTTATTTATTTGCCAATTGACGAAAAAGTTTATTCAAACAAAGCAACTTAGAAAAATGAAATTTTCTTTTATTGACTTGAATAAATTTCTTAACATATGGTAAGTCGTTGCTTTCTTTCATGCTATTTGTCTTTACATTTATTCTGCATCGTTCAGCTAAGAATGAAGTTTCTAACACTACTAGTGTTGCTCACACCTTTTATTATAATTGTTGATGGTCAATATTCTGTATACTATTCGGATGATCGATATGGATTTAATGCAACATTTGATTGCTTATATGGTTATTCAGGAGATCCATCAGCAGAGACAACACTATTATCTACTGATGATTACAGTTTAATTCCTTATTGTCGACGACTTAATGGAACTGATGAGGAAAAAAAATTTTCTACCATATCGTATGAGAATATTTTAAATAGCATGACGTTTGCTGAATTATATCGACAAAGTGTAACAAGTATGGAATTACTTAAATGGTCAGTACCAATTGACATGATCGAACGATATGAAAAAATCGGTCAAAATTCGACTGAAATATTTTACAATTGTTCGTTACCATGGTTTGGTTCAACATGCCAGTACAGATATGAGTCTGCTGTTGTATTACCTTCATTTAATAAAATTCTTCAATTTCATAATGATATTAATAGTATACCTAATGTATACGTCTATTCGAATACATGTTATCCATTTTTACCTGATTGTTACCGTGGTCCATCACCGATGTGTCTTGATTGGCATGAAATTTGTGATGGATATGTTGATTGTGTCAATGGAGAAGATGAGCAATTATGCGACACATTAGAAGTAAATGAATGTTTTGAAGATGAATTTCGTTGTCACTTCGGTAGCCAGTGTATTCCATCTGCATTTGTTCGTGATGGAAATGCAAGTACTGATTGTCTTGATGGTTCAGACGAAGTCTATCGGGTAAAGTACTCCAGATACGAAACTGACTATCTATGTACACGTGCATCAACATTTCAATGTGAAGAACTCCGTGATCGGCGTTCACTTGTGTTATTTCCATGTACTATGTTTATTAGTGCCTCCCTTGTGACAGAAACTACGACAAGCACTACTGGCCTTTGCGCTAATAATCGATATTATTATATGTTTTTTAATGTTCTCACTTCATTACATCACATTTCAGACGTACGCTGTAGACAAGCATTCTACTGTTCACTTAAATTCTCTATTATTCCTGAATTTACAAATGATAACGCAAGCAAATTTCGTTGTGAATTTCTTGGTAATCATTGTCAATCGGAATGGCTTGTATTGCCCGAATCTCCATTTATATATGGCTTCTTTCAATTTGTTTATTTAACAAATCGATCAGTCGCTGAATTTGATCGTACTATCGTGCCTGATTTTATGTGTTTTAATGCAAGTCGTTGTCCTGGATTAGTATATTGTTCAATAAATATTGGTATGCATAACGGACTCACATGTTGTAAAACGAATAATCTAATAAATAGAACATTGATCCAATGGTTTCAGTTAGATGATTTTTTGTTTGATCTTAGTCAACGTTGTTTAACAATTGGTACGGTTCAAGTATGTTCACATTCATCGTTATTTCATTGTTCACGTTCATTAAAATGTATTTCAAAACATCGATTAGTTGATGGTTATAATGATTGTTATTACCAAGAAGATGAATTATTTCCTACTTGTCAATTAAATGATTCAAAACGTTTTATATGTGCATCTAATCCAGAAAAATGTTTATCATTAGTTGCTATTGAAAACGGAATAAAAGATTGTGAACATGGAGATGATGAATGGCCTGAAAATCGACGAGATATTCAAAAGAATCCTATGCCCTTTGCAATATTTTGCGATGGAGAAAAGGATTTATTTTTAATGGATGCATTCAATAATACAGACGAAACTAATTGTGAATGGTGGCCATGTAATAATCCATACTCTCGATGCGATAACGCTTGGCACTGTTTCAATGGTGCTGATGAACTGAATTGTCCTGATGCACAATGTTCATTAAGCGAACACTTATGTAGGTATCGTGGTTCTGAAAAGCCTATTTGTGTGTCATATCTCCATTTCATGGAGAAACCTTTGCAATCTGTAACAGGACCAACTCGTCTGATCTATCTTACTAATAAAACCGATGCTAATCTAAACGAGTATTTCTTTTGGAATGAAACGACATGTATTACATCAGAACATCTAATTTATCCTCCATCAAACTCATCAATAATTCATGATGATAATTGTTTTATACAAACCAAAATACCTTTGCCGTTTACATTTGACACTTATCGGCGCGATTATTTATCTCAGAGGTGTTCTCTCACAAACCAACTTATTTTTAAAAGGAAACCAAAACAATTTCTCCAAACATTTGGATTTAGTTATTTTCCATCAACTTCTATTAATTCTTCAGTTCCACAACCATCTCAAGTAGGTTTGAATATAAGTACTCTGATAAAAAGTCGAACAAGAGATTGGTATTGTAATCGAGGAATTCCTCTTTTGTTCAAAAATAATCAAACAAAAAAATGTCTTTGTCCTCCATCTTATTTTGGTGATCGATGTCATTTACAAAGTCAGCGTATTAGTTTAACATTACAACTAATTTATCGTGCAATTGCAGATGTTATAAATTCTTTTCAATTAGTAATCATGCTCATCGATGATCAAGAAACAATTTATCCTTATCACGAGCAAATTACATACGTACCAAAACGTGATTGTCAAAAGAAATTTCATATTTATTTACTTTATCCTCATCGACCCAAAAATCTTTCAGATAATTATTCCGTACGTATTGATATTTTTAATAAAGATTCATTAACATATTGGGCAAGTTGGCACCTATCAATTCCTTTTCAATTTTTACCTGTGAATCGAATTGCTACACAGTTATTTATTCCGCCTACTACACAACAACAATTTGAATCTTCATGCAAATTATCTTGTGGACAACATGGTCGATGTATAAAATATATTAATAAAAATTCCTCATATTTTTGTCAGTGTGATCAAGGTTATTCGGGTCGTCAGTGTAATATTCAACATTCTTGTTCTTGTTCATCAGATTCAATTTGTCTCACTTCATCTATTTGTTTATGTTCAATGAAGAGATTTGGTCGAAATTGTCATTTAACACGTCCAGTTTGTCAATCATTAAATAATTCATGTGAAAATCAGAGGTTCAGTGAAGTAAACGCCACACGTAAACTCCACGTTTGGAGCTCACTTAGCTATCCATATTTTCCTCATCAAATCATCGTCCATGTTTTACCCAAAACCCAAAAAAATCCCAAAAACATAAAACCGTAAAAAAGTTCAAAAACCTAAAAAAGTTTAAAAAATTTTAAAAAACTCAAAAAAGTTTAAAAAATCTAAAAAAGTTCAAAAAATTCTAAAAAATCCAAAAAATTCTAAAAAACCCAAAAAAGTTTCAAAAATCTAAAAAAGTTTAAAAAATTCAAAAAAAATTAATAGTGTCTGAAAAACTCAAAAAACCTAAAGGCTTCATAAAACCGCAAAAGCGTCCAAAAAAGAAATAAAAAAAGTTCAAAATGAAAGAATGAAATGCAAAAGTTTCAACGGGGGCCGAGAACAGTCATTGGGTTTCAGAATTGCACAAATATGGAACTATCAAAAGTCAAAATCTTCTTAAAAATTGTCATGTCATGAGCATAGGAGGAATATGAGTAAAGCCTTTCAAATAAAGAAGAAAGTGTAAATACTAAAATATTCCAAGCGCCTAAAGAAAACTTCACGACAATACATCCGTTGTTCGACAGTTAAAGCAGGTTTTCAGAAAAGCTGCAAACATCTCGAAACGTAGAAAACAAGTAGCCAAAACTCATCTCATTGATCTATGTTATCCCGACCTAACGGAATCGTCGAAAACTACACAGAAAACAACTTTCTTGCCCACATTAAACGTCCGGGGGAGGGCGATAGTAGCCTACGCATAACCAACGCACACATTTGATGTTTTTCACTCAGTATGAAACAGAAAAATATCGGTCGCTTCACAGCTGAAGAAAACCCACACCACAATGTCGCAAGGATACAGTAAGCTAAACGTCAAGTATAAGTAAAAAGAGGAAATGCAGAATAAGTTTACTAAAACCTAAACTAAATTGAGATCTCGTTTCGATAAGTATCCCCAATTTTTAACACACCCATTTATAAGTTAAACAGCATAAATTTTCTACAAAGAAAAAAGACGCTGATTCAATATTTCGAATGCAGCAAATTGTATTTAAAACCAACATACAAATGAGATTCAACGAATTCCATTATCAAAAAATCCTTTTGAATGTTGCTAATTCACTTAATTTAATTCGACATCCATATCCAAACGGCAACGAGTGATTTTAATTTCCATACAATAACTTATGTCAATCTTTAGAACACTCATCTCACATCGAGATCCATACCAAAATCAAATTGAATGATTTTCAATCGTGATAAAAACTTTTTCCGATACTCTGAATCAACTCGCTTTTATTTAAAACCCATATACAAATAGAATTCAATAAATCTTAATTACGAAAAAGAAACATATCTTTTCAACATTCTCAATCAAATTACTTCTATTTAGAATCCATATCTGATTGAAATTCAAACGATACTCGTCACCACAATTTTTTACTACATTATTTCATATTTAGTTAATTGTATTGAAACCTCATCTCACACTGTAAACGAATAAACTCTAATTATAATACAAAAAACCTTTCTCAACATTTTGGATTAAGTTAGTTTTATTCGAAACCAATATCCATATCGAGTTGAATCAGTTTTAATAACCGAAAAAAACATTTTTGAATATTTCACACTCAGTTTCTTTTATTTAAAATACATATTTCTAGATTGAATTAGATCTATATTCACCACAAGAATGAACTTTTTTCAATATTTTTTTACCCAGTTGATTTCAATTAAAATACATTTCCAAATTCAATTACAAGAATATTCAGTACCATAAAAATTTTTTTTCAATATCTATTATGAGGCTAGTCTAAATCAGAATAAATTTATCTATTAGATTAGATGAATATCCAGTACGATAAAAAAAAATTTTAAATTTTTAACCTTTTCAGAGTGTTAACTTTTTTGAGTTTTTCTAGGTTTTTTGAGTTTTTTAGATTTTTTCTAGTTTCTAGGGTTCTTTTAATTTTTTTAAACTTTTTTAGGTTTTTTAAACTTTTTTAGAGTTTTTGAGTTTTTTTAAGTTTTTTAAACTTTTTTGAGTTTTTAGGTTTTTTGAACTTTTTTGAGTTTTTTCGACTTTTTGGTAAAATATGGACTGCAGAAAGTCTGGATGGTCTTATATATGGATTTGGAGTTTACGTCGTGTGGAGCTCACTTCACTGAACCAAAATCAGATTACAAATGGAATTTCTATTGAATTAAATGAAGATATGATTGAACAAGTTTCAATTCTATTTATTTATTATATCAAAGCATTTGATCATTCTGAACATCACCAAGTAACAGAATTAAAAAAGATTAAATATGGAGAAAATCGAATAGAAATTCGTGTAAAAGAACAATTTCATCTTCTCTTTATTGAACTTTTAAAACAAAATTATTATTTAATTATTAAACAAGAAACTTTTCAAAAATTAAATTATATTCAAATGAAATTATCATCAAATCAACGATGTGTTTCAACAGATGAATTAATGAATTCTTATACTTATCTTCATCGTATTAAATATTATCCTCATTTATGTCGACAAAATAAAGAATTAATGTGTTTTTATGATGAAACATATATGTGTATATGTGATCTTAATCGATTCTCAAATTGTTTTATCTTTAATCATTCAATGACTTATGATTGTCAAGGTCAAAATTATTGTGAAAATAATGGTAAATGTTTTCAAGATAATCCAAACCGTTCATTTTCACAACAACCAATGATTATCAAAATAAGTATAGGTATAATAATATTTATGTTTATTTTAG